TCTGCCAAGAGTATTTTGTATCTATTAATATAGGTTTCATAGACTAATTAAGGGGGAGTGCAGACAAAAAATAGTAATTACTAACAATAATAAAAATTCCTCTGTGTGTCCATGAAGAGCCTACAAATAAAATTTAAATACAACAATCACCAGAAATTTAAGCAAAAATAACAAAAACATTTTCTAGGGCTGTAAAAACAACAGCACTTATTTCCTTTGGAATAGCCTCTTCCTACAACTCTCTGAAATTAAAAAAAGTATATATTTGTTTACAGAAGTATTACAAAAACATGGTTTCATATTCACTCAAGTTTTTCAAGTGACCATTTATTTTTTGCCTGTGTTTTTTGTTCTTCTAAAGCACATTCAGCCTGGGTAGTTTGTTCCAATACTCATGTCGGCTTCAGTGACTTTGAAATTGGTATAAATAAGAAAACTCTATCCATTGTTCATAAGGAGTCTAAAATAAAATATCTCAAGGCCATGTCTCACGGACAAAATAAAATGAACCGTTGAGAGAGCCAAGGATCCTTACACGCAATACCACACTTTGTCCTTTCACTTGGGTCCCTCAGAGCTGCCAGAGCACCAGCCCTCGGCCCTCGCTCCTTCCACGAACTTTCTGACTCGCCTCCTTTGCTGCTGTTTGAAAGTTCTGGCGGAGACTTCTTCTGACTGACTGGATGAGAAGTAAGGATACAACTTGTTCTTCCCAAGGCTTTTTAAGCCATTATATTTAGGACGCATGAAAGGAAAGAATTGGCCGATCCTTTATTTATCTTCCTAACAGGTGCAGTCCGGACAGTCATAAAATCAGGCTACTGAAAAAGACTGATTTTGCCAAGTATTAAGTCGCTCTAGTGTGCATCTGCCCCAGAATGTTCTGACAACGGACAGCTCAGATCGACACCGGACTGCTCCATCCAGCATGGCCATGTTTTCTCAGGGGAAGAAAGGTACTGTGGCATTCATCATACCTCTTCATGTCTCTCCCAAATCTTTAACTTGGCTTAAATGACCCCCATTAAATAAGAGAATAGTTGCCCTCGATAAAAATACCTCCTCCCTCTTCCCCTACTTCCTGCAAATTAACTTTTCCCCAATTTGAGAGAAAGGTGATATTTTGTATATTAGCTGATTTTTAAAGACAAATTTATTTTGGTGTTTGAAATAAACCATCCAGTCTCATGCAGCTAGAAAAGGAAGGTCAAAGAGTAAATATAAGAGGGCGATTTTCTATCACCATGGTTTCTTTTCTAATGATTAATCCTTGAGCAATGCTGAGAAATAGGCAAGAGGGAATGGATGCTGTTCTACATTGGGATGGTGTGGGGGCTTTAGCAGAATTTTAAAATGTGATGAAATCTCTAGGGAACCAAGAAAGAAAGAGAGCAAACAAAACAGTCCTTTGGACTTAAAGTTATTCTTCATGACTACATCCCTGCCTATTCCTACTGAAAAGGGCCAAAATAAATTAGATCGATAAGTATTGCATGTTGATATAGCATAAGAAACTGTCACAGCAATGCCACCCCTTTGATTCTTAGAGTTATTGGAATGGCCCCTTAAAATTATGATCACAAATGGAGGTATGTCTTTCCATGTGTTTGAGTTTGCAAGAAGAGATCTCACCTGGATGATGAAGAAATGGCAATGAATCTCCCAAGGGTTTTTTGAATGGTACACAAACACCAAGGAAGAACTTTTGCCTTTTTCCTACAAGTTAAGTACATAAAATATAAAAGGGCCCGATATGTAACAAGAAAGTAAAATTTGTGTTGAAGCCTCAATTTGGTGTTTTAGAAGAGAGTTTTTCTAGTATCTTTAGATTTAGACAGTTAGCATTTGTCTAAGTGTATTAGGAACCAGGTGTTATGGTTTTAATGATCACAAACTACAGAGATAAAATTCTGAAGAATCATCTTCTGGGACTTTTAAGAGCCATTTATAGTATCTTTAAACTATTAGAGATTCTACTACAGAATAAAGGCTTTTGGTATTTTCTAACTTCATGTTGATAAAGTTACTTTTTGACAGGAAAGAGAAATTTCCAGTGAAAGGTGATTTTTTTTTTAAACTACACAGTAGAATCCAGGGGCTGGGAGGGCTTTTAAAACAGAGACCATGTTGAAACATATTTCTAAAATCTCAGCAACTAGCTCATGGTAAATGCTCCATTAATGGTTGATACATAAATACATGTGTGCAAAGCATTCCCACAAATCTCAAGCTTTTTCCCCACATCTTCTCTCACTATGACAATAGAAGAATTTGAAATTACAAGGCTTCAGAATCTGCATGTGTGAGACAGGCCTTTTACCTAGAACTGGCAGTACATGTATTTTCATTCTCTAAAGAATAAATACACAACTGGTAAAGGTGGAGAGGAGGGAATGGGAAGTGGTTGCTCCTTAAAAGTCATACTTTCTTCCTCCAAAAGCAGTTGACAAGTCACCCAGAATATTTTCAAGTGTCTAAACACAGACTAAGTCACTTCCATCAGAGTTCCTCCTTGAGGCCCAGAGTTACACCTTTGTGTTTCCCTCCTCCTTAAAAGGTCCAGCTCTTGCAAGACCTGACAACATGAAGGTCCCAGAATTAGGTCACAGTAGGTTGGGAGGAAGTTGAGAGATACATCATTTGCAACTTCAGGTGCTGAAAAGTCAACCTCTTTCAAAGAGTTGCCAGGTCCTCCTGGATCCTGGGAGGGCCAAACAGCCCATGTCGTCTATCAGGAGTGACAGTAAGTGGTCACGTCCTTCCTGGCTGTGGGGAAGAGGAATGACTTGCAGGGGCTGGAGGAACCTGTCCTCTGGGAATATTTCTGCGGATTGAAGTGACTCCGGAGAACTGGTGTGGAGGCAAGTTGAATTCCTGAAGCTATCTTTCAGAGGGGTATTTCCATGGAACAAAACCAGTCCCAGTAAAAACGAAATCAGTTAGGAGTAGGAACAAGGACCAGAATAGTTCCTGAGTTGACACAGTCCTGGCTGTTCTGTTCAAAACAGTATTCAAACGCAACTTTTCCACCAGGAAAATTCTTCAGGGTGCAGTTTCTCTAGGAATCTTTTTTGCTGGTGAGGAAACAAATTTTAAAGTCCCTGACTTTCTCAAAGGATTTTAAATATATCAGTCATCCTCTCTTTATCTTCACTCCCACCACCCAAATTTAAACCAAGAGTCTATGAGTATAAAGTTACTGCCCTGGGTGGGGGGACTCCTACACCGAGTGTCAACAGTGCTTTTATAGCAAAAGAAAATCATGAGGACTTTGTATCTCTGTTACTTTATTGAAAATATACACTTGGGGGGGCTGAAGTTAAAGATATAGTTTCCTCTCTGTAGCTCTAAAATTTCATCGTCTCTAAGAGTGGAATGGATCAGATTGAGTCGTCAGACACAAAGTAAATGTTTAGCACATTTACCAATCAGAATAATTTAGTTAGCATTACAGGCCATACAGTATGTCATTTTTGTGTAGTAGTTTTTCAACTTTGTCATTTTCATGTGGGTTTTACAATAATACATGCAAATTCATCCACTAAATGTGGGATAACTGAAACAATATTCTGTCCTGAGTCAGGAAACACAGAATGCATTTCATCCAAATAAGCCTTGAAGAGGCTAGTCAAGTGACAGATCAAATAAAAAGGACACTTAATACACATGTAAATCATTTGCATTACAAATAAGACACTTTAGCAGGGTTTGGACTCCCTGCCTGATAGTCCGGATTAAGTTCCCATATTAATGCATGCATTTGGTGTGGTTATTTCGGGTGGAAGACTTCATCCATCAATGCCCTCCACCACTAAGTAAAGCCAACCTGTAAACCGATCACCGCAGCCTGTCAACACTGGTTACTTAATTACATAAAGAAAATATATTTCAAAGACTTCAGTTAGTATTTCAACCTGGGTTCAACGTCTAGCATCTTTTTCAAGGTTCTTCAAAATAACAGTTAAAAGCAGTTTTAAGAATTAAAAATGAAAAAGCTAAATGCTATTTTTTAGCTTTTTTTGCATTTATTGCAATTTTTTTGCATTTATTCACAGAAATGAAAAATAAAAATTCAGTAAGCAGTAATAAAAGGTAATATGAGTGAAATAAAAATTTAAGCTGATATTTCCATTCAAAGTAAATAACATATACTTGTGCTGTTAATTTGTGTTTTTCATAAGTCATTTTAGTAATTGCTAATTCCAATTTATTTATATTATTAATTAGTACTTTCAAAATTTTTATTTTCTTATAGAAAGAAGAAATATTTCTTCTAATAAGAATATTTTCATACTTTCAGTTTAATTACTTTCCAAAGGCTATGTATTATAAAGTTATATATGATAAAACTCATTAAAGAACACAATCCATCAATGATATTCAAGATATATTCTCTTTCACTCAGGTGTTTGATTTTTCTTTCCATGGAAGGATTTAATAATATGATAACTAACGAAGTGCCAAAAGCACTGATAAAAGTATAAAATGTCTCCATCTGTAGAGTCTATATATCTGTCCATGAAAAAAACAGAGTGAATCTGGAAATACTGTCACAAATTATTTTTTGAAATCTTGATCAAATCTATTTACTATTTAAAAAAGTATTCCAAGTCACTCTCCCACACACAAATTGCAAATACTTGGTGAAAAATTTGTGATTGAACCTAATAAAATATACTTGAAAGTGCAACGCTCTCACCATAAGCAATTAACATCCTTAAATTACTTTGAGAATCCCTTAAAATTGAATGATAAAATTATTATCTGAAACCTCAGTCAATATTCATTTACAAAATATCATTATCAGATATTTTCAAATTGGTATATTTTTCATATACTTTTCCTCTGGTCCTTTTATGTTCACGGATCTTTTCCTAACATCACAGTGATTCTATGATTTCATAGTCTATTTAAGAAATTGGATTTGTTTAAAAATAAATACCAAAGTAAACACCCTTTATTTTAAAAGTACAACAAAATGATTTATAGACAAATCTTACCCTTAGTAGGTTCTGGCATGGCCACCACAAAAAGTTATTCTCCAAAGACTTTGCTCCCCTCCAATAGTAGTTGACAGAAACCCCACGAGCAGTTGAGAGATGGTGCAGGTCACTGTGACAAGCAGCTGGGGAGAAATCCCGGGCTTTTGTACTGCCTTTGAACATCAATCATGTGGCACCGCCCCTTCTGCAGCACAAGGATGCTGGAACTTGACAGCTATGAGGACCTTTCTCACATCTGTCGTCTGCACTCCGCTCTCTCCCTTACTGGAAGCAACCTCCTGTCGGTCTCATGTGGCTGATGAGAACACCTCTAACTTTCTAAATTGAGCCGCAGCCTCGTGTTCCTTCTCACTCTTTTTTTTTTCCTCCCTCTCTAACGGAGTCCAGTGTCCACTCAGGAGTGGAAAAAACTTGCTAGATGATAAAAAAATGAAATGCAATTAAAAAGTGTAATATGTGAATTCAACATCTACTTTTTTTCTAAGGTTATAAAGGAAAATCTTTGAATTAAGATGATGACTGTATGGTCCCATTAGATTTTTGTTTTTGTTCATTCTTAGTTGTTGGATTTATTTTTTCTTATTTTTTGCCAATAATAATGTTAATTTGAAAAGCCAAATTTTTATGCTGAATATCTACTCTCATTTTATCCTCCAAGAATAGTAAAGGGTTCTATTAAAGAATACTTAGCCTTTACCTCTTCTCAGGAAACATTATTTAGTCACTGTTTTGATTCCCAATCAGGGCACCTGCCTAGGTTGCAGGCCAGGTCCCCAGTAGGGGGCGCACAAGAGGCAACCACACATTGATGTTTCTCTCCCTCCCTCCCCCTCTCTCTATAAAATAAATACATAAAATTAAAAAGGAAACAACATTTAAAACAGTTGCATGGCATATAAAAGAATAAAGAAATGATACAGGCAACCACAATAAATGAAGCTTGAGTACATTGCACTAAGTGAAAGAAGCCAGACACCAAAGACCAAATATTGTGCAATTTCATTTATGTGAAATGCCCAGGATACTCAGAAAGTTGATTAGTGGTTGTTGGGGGCTATGGGAAGGTTGAATTGGAAGTGATGCTAATGAATATGGAGTTTCAGAGATGATAAAAAAGTTCTGGAATTAGATTGTAGTGATGGTGGTACAAGTTAGTGAATATATTAAAAACCACTGAATTGTGCACTTAAAAATGTATGGGGCATGGGCAAAGAAAGTCAGACAGACCAGTAGCCATGGTTTGTTTCAAGAGAGCAAACAGACACACAAATGTAACTGAAGATTTCGGTAGACTGTGTCAGATTTGGTCTCTTCTTCTCAAAATTCTCCTGGAACTGTTGGAGAACTATGAACTACCAAGTGGTCAAACTAAAAAAGACATTGTTTCTTTGTCTACATTCATGGCACCACAGAGACCAGGACTAAAATTAGATTATATGAAAAGACTCCTTGAGTGCCTTTATTGTTATGTGTTTTCAAGATCATTCTCAAGAGACTTTGATTGATTTGTACTGAACCAGCCACACTGTCTCATTTAATTTCCCTTGTGGCTGACAGTGCAGCTGGTCAGACTTAGCTCTACCAAACCCTGTGCCAAGCTAACTCTTCATATAAGGGTGGAAACTCAACTTAGAACTCAATGGCTTCATGCTTCAGCTATGTGGGGAGAGGGGGAGGAGAGCAATCAGGGTGGTCAAGGAACATCTTCTACAAAGAAAGCCCTTTTCCCAACCACGTGGAGCCACTGATCCCATTGTTTTGCTTTCAAAAAGATTTATTTGCTCTTAGATGTTAAACATCAGCCGGAAAGCAGCGTGGTCTATATACAAAGTTACACATGCCTTGAAAGAACAACAAAAAAAGAAAAATCTTTGTTTTCTCCTCTGTAGCTACCATGAGAGTATCAATTAATAGATGAGAGAAACTAAGAACCTACAGTCTGAAGTCAGACCCTTGGGTTCAATTTCTGAATCATTGTCAATCAGCTGAGTTACTCTAAGGAAGGCAAGTGGTGTTTCTGGGCCTCTGTCTCCTTTTGTGTACATTGAGGAGCGTATAAAAATGTGCTCTGAAGCCCCTTCTAGGTTTAACATTGTGATTCTATACGGGTAGTCCCTAAAAAGGAGTAATTCCTTTAGCATTCCCAGCACACTGAACACCACATATGAAATGGACGGGAGGCCTCAGTGTCACATTGCAGGAGAATGTTCATAGTGATGGGCAGATTTCACACATGCCACAAAAGAAGTGCTGAGCCATCACTGGCTTCGGCAGAAATTCTATTGGGTTTTTAATACACTGATCATTTTACTGAAGTGAACACGTGCCAGGAAATACTGCAACCCATGGAGACAATGTTTTATGACTGGAGAAACTTTTTGATAATGAAGGATTTGATTGCAAAAGGACAAAACCTAATTGGAGGCATTGGAAGTGTAAACAAATTCTAGAATAAATGGTTGTAGTGTATTAGATGGTTAAAATAAATTTCTATTTTATTTTTAAATATTTTTATTTATTTATAGGTAGAAAGATGGGAAGAAAGAAAGGGGCAGAAACATCAATGTGTGAGAGAAACATCGATTGATTGCCTCTCGTGTGCCCCCAACCAGGGACCTGGCGCACAACCCAGGCATGTGCCCTGACTGGGAATCTAACCTGTGACCCTGTGGTTCACAGGCTGATGCTCAATCCACTGAACCACACCAGCCAGGGGAAGGGGGAGGTTAAAGTAAAATTTTAAATTAGAATAATAAATAGATGCATAATTTCCCTGGGATGTATTGTTTCAGGAACACACAACCCCTATTTCAGATCTTACCCGTCATTGAGAAGGTAGTAGACCCTTCATCTCCGACATCACTCAGAGAATGGGGAAGATGGTCAACAGGGCTCTTCTTGTTTCCCTCTTCTTAAGTGCTTTATTGTTTTCCCTGTTTGTGTTATTTAGGATTAGATTTGGCTGAGTATAGTATGAATCCACAAAATAACAGTTAAAGCAAGACGGAAGTCTTTCTCAATCACATGATGGAAGGCCAAAGGAACTGGTTCAGTCATGACAGTAGCTTTCCAATGTCACGAGAAATCTATGTCCTTTCTTCTGCCCCTGACACCCTTCAGGTAACTTCCTGGTCTAAAATGGCAGCTAGCGCTCATGTCATTATGTCTACATTCTGGGCAACAGAAGAAAGAGGAAGAGGACTCACTTTCTCCATTTTAAGGAATCTTCTTTGAAGTCCCACAGAAATTATCATAAGTTCCACATCCAGTACATCCCACTGGCTAGAACTTAAATACATGGCCATAACTGGTCCCCAAAAGAGCTGGGCCATGCAGACTTTCATTCCCAGTGACCACGGGCTTCTGTTATCAAAGAGAACAAAGGGAATGGATGTTGGAAAGGCAAATATCAGTCTCTGCCACGCCTTTCCAAATAAACTGTCATGTTCCCTGCGCCAACCAAACAGTGCAGAGAAGGATGAATAATAAGCCTCCCACTCTCCCTGACTTTACCCTCACTCCAAGATGTGAGTCACGGTCTAAACTTCCTCGGGGTTCGCATATACACTTACAAATATATTCATATGTAGAAAGGTCTTAACCTATTTTTATCTACACTACTCTTCAACTTGCTTTTTCTACTTAACCTGTCATAGACACATAGACATCTGGGTTAATATGTATATATACAAGAATACAGATATATACACACTTTTTAAGTAGCTGGATAATAATCGTTAATGGTATGGATGCACCATAGTGTGTCGTGTATTCTCAATCACTTCACTTTTGATGAACATTCATACTGTTTTCAATGTTTCGTCCCTACAGTGAAACTGCAATAAACATCATAGACTGTAACCTTAGACTTGCACAGATACTTTTAAATTATTATGATAGATTGTTAAAAGCGAGCTTGCTGGTACAGATGCATAGTTTAAATCTTTAAGAGATTTTTGGTAGATTATTTTCCCAAAAGTATGCCTACTTAACAGGTCAGCAATGTACAAGATTGCCTGTTTTCTCATACCTTGAATGTTATTTTTTTTAAGTTATCAACTTAATGGGTTAGAAATGACTGCTCATTATTTTAGTTGCCATTTTTTGAAAGGTTAAGCAACATGTTTGTTGGTGATTTCTATATTTTTCTGTGACTGCTTTCCTCAAATGCTTATTTTTTAGTGCTATTAACTCTGCCTTTTGATTTTATGATATTTTTTGCCATAAAAGTTTAAAATTTTTTATTTATTCAAATTTTCAAATTTGTCACATTTTTCTCTATGACTTTGGGATTTTCTATCTTACTTAAAAATGTCTCTCCACCCAGGGTTATTCAAATACTCTCATAAGTTTTTTTCAAGTATTTCTAACTATTTAAATCTTTTTGTTGTGTGAATTAGGGTCCCAACTTGCTTGTTCTCCTGCCCCAGCCGCAGCTCCAGCTTGACGGGGAGTCATGAAAGCACCATTTCACTATTATTTTACCACTGACTGGAAATGTAACCTAAGGTCTAAGTTCTCATATAAACTTAAATCTATTTATAGATACAGTGTTACTTTTTCACTATTCGATGTGTTTATCTTCAGCTGATATCATACCATAGCTTTACATTAAGTTTTAATATCTAATAGGGCAAGCCCCACATCTTGTGGTCTAATTTTTCAAAAACTTCTTTGCAATTTTCTATTTATGTTCTTCCTTATAAACTTTAAATACATTTTATCAGTTCCTGTCACCTTTGTACAACACAAAGGATATTCTCATTATAATTATATAAACTGTTATATATTAATTCACAGATTGTTATATATTAATTCAAATATATTAATAATATATTAATGGTTATATATCGATTCAAATTATGAAATTCATAATTTCATACTAATTGAGATTATCATTTGATAATATCAATCTTTCTCATCTAGAAATATGGTATGTCTCCCAAGTCAGATATCATTTTATAGTTATTAGTAACACTATAATTTTTCCTATTAAAATTCTATACCACTCATATTAAGTTTATTCCTATGTAGTTTATGGGTTTTGTTACTATTTCAAATGTAATTCTTTTCTCCATTTCCATTTCTTACTGGTTACTGAGAGTATGAAGAAAAGCTATGCACTTATTTTTATAAAAATTTTGTATC